AAATTTAAATTATAATATTGATTATTGTAAATTAAAAATAGAATCTTAATCAATGTAAATTAAAATTATTATCTTAATTAATTATTACATTTGATATATAATTTAAACTTAAAAAAATGTTACAAAAAATAAAAATATATGTATTATATTTAATATTTTTCAAAAATTTAGGGGGCAGCTTGTCTACGCCAACTCCCCTTCATGTGTTCTGGGCTAAATGGCAAGCCAGTGATGAATTAGGTGGCACACGTTAACAGTTAAAAAGAATTCTATTAGTTTAGCTAGCGAAATATTTGTTAAATAGACTATTTTGAAACAAAATTGATAATTTATAAAATAAGATAAAATTGTTTGTAAATTAAACTGAAATAAACTATATAATTAATACACTATTTATTAAATTTAACCTTTGGTTTTCATATCTAAAATTTTATAATCACAATATCATCTAATTTTATAAATTTATATTATGATATATTATTATATTATATAATTAATTTTTTTATTTAAAAATTATTTATAATATTATATATATTTATTTAATATTATATTATAATTATTTAATAATATATAATATATTATAATTATAAATTTATAATTTTATATAATATTATAATTATAGAATTGTAACTTTTACATTTTATATTAATGATGATTTCACCTAAAAAATATTTTTTTATTTTCTGAAAGGTAGTTTCTTTTACTCACATAACATTGCACGTCCTCGCGTCGGGGGTGGGCATGGCATGGTTTGGTAGCCATACACATTAATTTTTCAGTGACTGTTTATTTCAGTAATGAAATTTTGTTGTAAATACCAAGGTTGTCAAAATCAAGATTTTACCTAAAATCGTTTTGGTTAGGTGAAATCGGAATTGTAAAATCGAATCGGTAAAATCAAGATTTTACAAAATTTAATATATAATATATAATAAATTATATAAAATCAAAATTAAATAAAAATAAATCAAATTTAGAGTTAGAAACTTGAAATTAGCTAATTAAAATCTAAATATCCAACAACACAAATAAATTAAATGAAGAAGATGACTTAAATTTAGAATTTTAGATGGTTAAATCAAATTTGTCCCGAATTCCCGATTAAAATGTTGATTTGTGGTTGGGTTGTGTTGGTTGTGTGGGTTGTGGGTTTTTAAAATGAAAAATGAGCTTAATTTATGGGTTATCTAGTCAAAACTCATTAACACAATATGAGAAGCCCAAAAGGAAATAGGCTAAAAGTTCAGCTGCCAAACAGAAGGTAAAATTGAGATTTTACCTGATTTCACGGTAAAATCTAGATTTTACCATGAAATCTTCAGATTTTATGAATTTCAGATTTCAATATAGATTTTACACGAAATGTCTTGTTGAAATTGTAAAATCCTAAGATTTTAAAATTTAAATTTAGATTTTGACAACAATGCTCGTGAGTATAAAGACAAAATTTATTTTTGACTCTAGACAAAAGTTATTTTTGACTCTTCACCAAAAATCTCTATGAGAATCTCCATTTCTACCCGTGATAAGGATAAGGATAAAGAGGAGTCCTCGCCCCGTGGGAACCGTTAGTATCCCTAATAAGTGCCAATTTAGACTTTACATTTGTCCAAACGCCACTATTAATGCTCCGAATGGTCTAGTCAGCATCAATGAACACCATCATCCACGGCGCACCATGACATCCACTGTTCCGCCATTAATGAGGACCAATTTGATGAATTCTTGGTAGTTATGACATCCATTGTTTTCCCTTTAAGGAGGGACTAATTAAATGCATTCTTGTAATTTGGGGGTTTAAATGTTGTTTTTCAAATTTGAGAGTTTAAAATTGATAACTTTTAGTTTAAATTTATTTTTAATA